TTTTCATCATATTTAGTAAAGCTGATTAATTTACTTTTTTTTATGTAGAAAGTTATGATAAATGTAACTATTAATTATCAAAAATAAAAAGATAAATAATTAAGATTTTATATAAATACAATAATAAATAAGCCCATAAACTTGTTAATATGAGCAAATTAACCATTTTTATTATAGTGGACCTAATTTTCGTTTGTACCTTACTTACGCGAATAAAGCCAATACCCACCACACAGGCAATGATGTGTCAACACCATGTCTACACAAACAAGGCATAAACCCAAAGAGGCATAAACCCAAAGGACAAAAATTTTGGAAAATTTCATCCCAAGAGTTGGCCCAGCCAGTTGGACGGGTTATTAGTTCTTATTCATTTGGATGGTTTGAGTGGTTTTAAGTGGTTCAATCTCCTAAATGATTTGAAATACTCACTCGAACTCTATTTACTATCGAGTATTGGTCCAACTGATTCAACCGATTGATCCGATCCAATTTTCAAAACAATGCTTGATAGCCAGACAACTTAGGGGAATTTTAAGTAAATTCACCATAATTAATGTAAGATAGGTAGTTTAAGAAAGTTAAGTGAGGAAGGGGTGCATTTTACTTATTGTTAAGCATATTTTGTTTTTTGGGTAGAAGTTGCTATTAACATATTGGCATAGTCATGAGTGATAGTTTTAATGGTGGATCGACACACAACGTATTTGATTTTCTATATCATATTTGACATAGTTATGAGTCATAGTCCTTCCTTTATTTAGCTCTTCATTTTTCCCTTGTAGCTTCATGTTTTAATTCCTTCTTCTATCTTCAACTGCCAAAGTGCAGAATTCAAACTGGCTTCAAGAGTTTAGAGGAATATGCACTGTCACTGTTTAAATTTGTTTTAACAAACCCTCAATAAACCTTGTTCTGCTTTGTTCCAATTTGTTTCATCTGCGCAACTTCTGAACTTTAAACTCTAGTCCAGCCCTCTTGCCACTGTAGCCTGGGCACTTGTATTGCTTGGTATGTTCAGCCTTTGCAGAATTCAAACAGGATCACACTGCAGATAAAATTTGTCGACATCTGCAAGATGAACAAAAACCATTGATTGATTTTTTTTTTTTTTTTCTGTTTTTGGAACATAAAAGCCATTAATTACATAGCTAACATAGCATAACCCCACATATGGAAAAATGTTAGTAATTGTTTACATATTTTCTGTTAAGTATAAAAGCAAAGCATGAAGAGAAGAGGAAAGAAACGGACAATTAATATTGGTATCTTGCCCCTAATTTTGCCACTAGATCAAGCACTAACAGGGTTATAAGACAAGCCAGTGTTTGAATTGAGAATAATGCCGTATGTATTCCATTATACATATTGACTTATACACACGATTCTTTACATAGCAACCAGTTTGTAAAAGCAAAGTAAAATATTTAGTAGCAAAGTAAATATACACAGGTTGAGTTGACAATAAGCTTGATTGCTTGCTGAAATGATTATCCTTGATTGCTGGAATGATGGTTGGAATGATTGTCTTGGTTACTTTACTTAATAAGAAGGAATACAAAATTCAAATTCATGGGTTCTTCTACATGATCTCAGTGCCCACCGGCTCAACAGAAAAGTTAACAGCAATCGTTTTCTTTGCTATGGGCTGGAATTTGGAACTCCAGACCTGTTAAAAAGATTAAAACCTAATTCAGAATACAGGCACTTAAAATAATACACACTGGCAATAGACCAAAACAAGCTTAATAATAATATCATAAATTTGTTTGAACGAGTTGAAGTCATAGAAGACCAAAACAACCTTGGAATAAGCAGGTCATACCAGTGCTTCAATTTCAAGCAAAGGTTTCTTTAATGGAATGGAATAATAAGGCATGTTAGTAGGCAACTAAGAATCTAAGATACTATTACATGGAATAGCAAGCCTGCAACTATTCAGAAACAGAAAAAGGTCAGCCCTAGAATACTGAGACACGACTTTGGCAAGAAGGTAGTTTGTTAGTCATCTCCATGTGGCAGATAAATCAAGTTTCTCACCATTAACTTTGCATTGTATCTAAAGATGTCAACAGAATCATTTTCAAGGCACATACTTGAATTGATGATCAACATGGGAAATATCTCAAATATAAACATGTCAAAGAAGAATTGATGAGACTACTCCTTACATTTTTGTATTCTGAGCTGTTGATAAATATCTCCAAGGCGTCAACTGCAAAAATACCAGCTAAAAGCAATGATTGGAATGAGGTGCTGAATAATCAGAAATCAATAAATGAGCAAGAGAACTGACATGATCGAAATCTTATAATCACTCCATGGGTATATTCTTCACTGCTAGAATTGAAATTTGAACCTGAAAATCATGCATTGGGAGGTAATATGACAAAAAACCTAGAACCTCTCCATAAAAAAAAAAAAGAACCACATAAAAGTGATACTCTAGTCCAAAGAGCTAACTGGTGCTGATTGAAAATGAATACATATTTACACTGAAATAAGCATTACCTTGGGTACATTGGACAATTAAGGATTGATGTTCTTCGGTGAGAGCTTGAAGGGATGCCAATGCATCTTTTGCAGGTTCATCAATTGCACTCTCAGAAAATGTAATCAGAAGGACAAATTCGAGACCAGTGTTGAAATCCTATCACCACGAACCATTTAACTTGTTTCAGAAATAATTAGAGCCCCAAGGAACTAAATGCAAAATCAAAACCATAAGCTCTTGAATAATATTGATCTACCGACCATAGTTCAGAATATCTAATCATTTTTCACCATTTGTTCATTTTACAAGATGTCTAGACCTATACACCAAAGACAAATAACTGAATTATTTCATTTTACGGAAAGAAATAAACAAATATCAGTATTGTGAAATTTATACTATCTAACCTCCCCTTTACGAAATATAGGAAGGAGGTCATCTTCCACCTCAGATTCATAATCGACATTAGTTAATCCCTGCACATATGAATTAGGTTGAATTCAATAAGCAGCATATATAGAAAACTGGAAATTATCAGGTAAAGTCAGAAGAAAACAATTGTAAGAAAATTTAGAGCTACTGAGTTGGGGGGTTTACATCTCAGGGCATACATGACAGTAAGGAATTACATGCTCCTTTAGCACTCCAGAGTAGAATGGGTTTTGATAGAACTTTGCAAGGTCTTCCTTTCTTTGGAAACGCATGAAGACAGCATGGCTGAAACTTTCTACATTTTTATCAGATATTCTTCCTACAGGAGTAAACAGAGCATTTAAGTGACATACTAGATGGTCCAAGAAACGTATTCCATCAGGTAACAAAGTCCATGTTGATATTTGTTAAATAGTACCCATATGAAAAACAAAAAGAAAAAAAAAATAGTCCATGTTGATTTTGGAATAGAGAATGATAGTTACCCAAAGATATTGCAAGAATTCCAGGCATTTGATACTGAGTGGTAAAGAGATAATCCAGCATATCTTTCTCTTGCTCATCAGATAAATCCTTGTTTGCTTTGAGAAAACATATGTGTTCCACCACTTTTCTTCTGTAAACCATTGTTTAAATCTTGAATCGATTATTTCCTCCCAACAAAATTTGGAAATTGTGAGAGAAGAATAAATTCTTAAATTCTTAAAAGCAACAAACTTGGTTCTTTTTTTTTTTTTAACAAAGACGAAACATACAATCCATCATAGTTTTATGAGAAGAATGAAAAGAGAGATAAAAGAACCTCTTTCTCTGCTGTTGCTGCTGCTGATGCCCACTGGAACCCCCTGAAACCATTGTTACCCGATTCTTCCCTCGATTTACATTCCATCCCCATGCTTAGAATTAGAAATCAACCAAAAATAAAAATGTTAGAAAATGTTATAAAAATAAAAATGTTGAAAAAAAAATTCCATCCATATCCATTAGAATACCATTGGAAGAGAAGGAGCTACAAGTAATAATGGGTTTCTTCAAGCGCCGATATGTGGGATGATGATGACAAGAAGAGATGGAGAAAGGGATGAGAAGGGCAAGAGATTGAGCCACCACCACCACCATTTATCTTCTTTGTCTGTCTCTGTTAAGTTTGCAGAGCCACCTCCAGCCACCCACCACCGTTGGTGGGAATTAATATATAAGTGGATTGTATCGGATTCTGAACATTCTGAACCCCATCTACTTTTAATACAAAAACTACGTCGTTTTCCTTGGAGAAAAATAATGATGAAATTAAAAACCCTTTTTCCCTCCCTCCCTCCCTCCAGCCACTGCTAGGCTGAGGGTAAATGACTTCGAGTTGGTTTCTTTTTTTTTTTTTTTTTTTTTTTTTTTAATAGGAAAAAATTATTAAATTAGATGTTAGTATCTGTTGTTTTGTAAGAGGATTGAACCTTAGAACTGAGTGCATTCCACCTGTTACTCAATAAATAGCGTGATCACTACTAAACCACATTAAAAGATTGCAACGACTCCGAGTTGTTTGTACTTAAATCCCCACTCATATTTACCAATGCTTTGTTCCAACTTACAATTTTTCTTTCTCTTTTTATTTATTTATTTATTTCCACAATAATTTTCTAAACTACCCAAAGAAGTAATAGTTGTCTAGTTAGGACTGCTACTTTAGATTATACTGTTCTAAATACTTTGGACTGCGTGACACCTTTTGTGTTGTTAAATTGAAAAGAAAGAAATAAAAGGTATGAAAACTGATGAAATCATTTCGTGATGGAGAGAGGGACACACAGACGATGGACCTCTGCTGCTTTCCCAGAGCCAGAAGAAACAAGAAGTTGAGAATGCAGGAAAAGGGCAAAAATGAAGCTGCCATAATATGGTTTCAATGTTATAGATAAGGAACAACAACACAGTTCAGCAGTGATTTTTACTCATAATAATAAAAAAAGACATTGTAGCCTTGCACCAGTTACACCCGTAGTACCATATACCATACCATTGGATTTGACAATCTATTACTCAAATATAATATAAAAGGTTTCATAAATTGATGCTAATATGATACTTCTCCAACTCTTCTCATCCACAAACTTGCAAAAGAGGAACTGCCATTCTGAGCAGGATTTTCCAACAATATCTTGATCCCACGGCAGCATTCATCAACTTCTGAGGTTCTGGAAAAGCTCTGGAAGGTGGGAATTGGTTAGCTTGGTCCTACTGCTGATGTCTTGCTTCTTCTTCTTCTGTTTGGGCTTAGTAGATATGCCCTGAACCTGGGCTGCAGCTCGCCTCTTTGCAGTGTTGGTGGCAGGTTTCATGCCATTCTTTTGAAGATCCTTCTCTATATCAATCATGTCACGTGGCAATTCAATTTTCCGGAAAAGCTGTTTAATATCTTCATCCACCTTAATAGGCACCCTGGGATCATTTGGATAAGCAATGTCTTCTTGTGAGTCAAAATTTGATAGCAACCAAATCTGACCTGTAGCTTTCAAAGCCTACAAAACAAGTTTCCACCGTAAGTAAAAATCATAATTTGCACTAGTGACAAAAACTCAAAACTCACTCGTAAGGAACAAAAGATGTTATGTGAATTTTTATTAGCACAAAATAAAAAAATAAAAAGAGCTTCACTGGACTCATTTAGCCAGACAGATAAGCCAACCATTTAGAATCTAGCAACTTAATTTGAAGCTCGTATTTGTTTGAAAATCATCCTAAGAAGAAATAGGGTAAGGTGTTTTTTTGGAGAGGTAACACAAACAGGAATTCAGGGGCATGAACAAGAACACGAGCAAATAGATAAAACCACAAACATTGGGATTTAGGAAACCAACACAATAATCCAAATGCAAGAAATGCTTAATATGTCAAACCCATATTAGTATCCAATTTGACCTCGATACGGTAACACAACTATCTAAAATAAAAGTCTGTTAAGAAGTTTATAAAGTCAATGATTATTTATATA